AGTCACCTTTATTTATATAGCGCTTTTTACAGTACACCTTTATTAACGATAGTGCTTTTTGTATCAAAGCAGCTTCACACTAATAACATGAAAATAATACAACAAGTTTGTTTCTAGAAGACAATTGCAATAAGGCAGATCAATAATATTGTTGCACAATAAATGTCCTCAACTAAGCAAGCCAAAAGCCAAGGCAACAGTGGCAAGGAACCAATTCTCCATCAGGTGATAGACTGGAGAAAAAAAACCTTGGGAGAAACCAGACTCAGTTGGAGGCCAGCTCTCCTCTGGCCAACGAATGTGCAGTGTATATGATTATGATTCAGGCAACATTACAGGTCAGAAGTCAGATTTGATCAGAACATTCACAATATTTCTCCAGTTCCATCTGGTTGGAGGTTGGAGTCATCACGCCAGTATGGAGACTATAACGTAGAACGTGACAGAATGATAAGGAACTATATTAGTGTCTATTACACCATCGTACGATTTATTTATTTATTTATTTGACAGGGACAATGCAAACAAACATAGTGTCAAGATCAAGCATGTCACTGAAGTGTTGCATATAAAGTTTATTGCTATAGCTAATTTTCAACTCCTGTCCCTGGAAGGGCTTTTATACACAATAAAATTTACATGATTAGCTACTTCAATAATAATAAAAAAATAATAATAATAATAATAAAAAAAATAATACTAATAATAAAAATACTAATAAGCATACATATCATATACAACTCTAATAATTAAATGTAGTTAAAAATGAGTACAGTTTTGGTTTATTTTTAACCAATTGTTCAGCCTGGAAATTAACATCTTAAAGTCTGACACAGTCTTGACTTCAAAAGGTAAAGAGTTCCAGAGTTTAGAACTCTTTACAGAGAAGGTCGTCTGTCCAAAACTGGTCCTGCAGTATGATATATTACAGTCAAGATTTGTGGAGCTCCTAGTGACTCGGATGTTGTCCTGTCTCACAATAAATGTACTTAGTGGCTCAGGTGCTAGATTATTAATGCACTTATAAATTAGTTTAAGAAAGGAAAATTTCATAAAACTATCAAAATTCATTAAATTATATTTCTTAAAGATGCTGCAATGATGATAACTTAATGGATATCATTCTGTTTATTATAATCACGTGCTACCGTTTTAATCTCCAGCTTTAAATACTTGAGCTCTTTAAGTCAGGATGCATTCTAATTGGCTTTCATTGTTTTTTAAAGTGATTCCAACGATATTGTTTCTCTGTGCCATTACCATTGTAATTGTGGTGTGGACACTGCTATTCTGTTATATGTAGAATTATTATTTTTTATCGTTATCTTTATTATAGTTATCGTTTTTGGTGTGAGTGTGCGTTATAATGATGTTCTGTATTTGGAATCACTGGGCCATGCAATTTTTTTCTTTGTTTCAGTGGCCTCTCTGGCTGCAAAAAATGGTAAACTGCCAGACTAGGTGTTCTCATTTGGCCTCCCATAAATAGCCTACGTTACAGCGTGATGGGAGCTGGTGCCATTTTTAGGAGCAATATTTCCTCACTTTACATTTTCCAATGTTGGGACATCCTCTTAATCTTACATCCTTCACTTTAACCTTTGTCTCTGCACTCCTCTAGCCTGTGATTTATCCATCAAATAAGATTCAAAACATTAGGGCCAGACAAGGACTTGTGATCTACTTCAAATTCTAGTTAGCTTGAAAAATCCTCTTTTTGAATCACAGATAATACACACATGCCAGTTAAATGGTCATGTCTTGTCTCTTATCTTCACTCACTGTTTTATCAGTATGGATCTCAGAAGCAACTGTAACATATTGCTGAATATGGGCAGCGAAAGGATTTGGCCGCATTTTCCAGATACTTTTTAGATGTGTGTTCCCTCGTGAGACGCTGGAGTAGGCTACTCCATTTGGCCCCCGACTGAGCCTGGTTTCTCCCAAGGTTTTTTTTTCTCCATTCTGATGGAGTTTTGGTTCCTTGCCACTGTTGCCTTGGCTTTTGGCTTGCTTAGTTGGGGACATTTAATATTCAACAATATTATTGATCTGTGTTGTATTATTTTAATGTTATCACCGTGAAGCTGCTTTGATACAATCTGTATTGTAAAAAGCGCTATAAAGGTGACTTGACTCGACTTTCAATAAGAGATCCAGTTCAAAGAAACGTTCGCACCTCCGGTTGTGTGCAGATTGATGACTCGTGACACCCGTATTTCATCCAAAGAGGCTAGTAAACAAATGATGCCGGACAGGCGCAATATGGAAATGTGCTCTTGATGTCTAAAAGACCAGGAAGTTATGACTGCACACACGCTTTGCGGCTCCGTTCCGGGTAATATACTCCCAACACATTCAGTCATTATAAACGGACCACGGTCAGGGCCAAATTGACATCAAATGAGGGCTTTGAATTAGCCCTTCTCGTCGGCATTGATTTATGCTCAGTGGTAAATTGCATCTCCTGAGGAGACGCGCATTTAAACAACAGCTTTTCAAGAGCATAATTGATCTGGTTGTAAGAGATCCTGAAAGGGCTGGAGGACCTCAGTCAGAAAAACATTCATTTCTGTGCAAATTGAAGAGAAAGAAAAGCATTCGTTTCAAAGACTGATTGCGTTTCGTCTATTTCAAAGGCAGAGATGTTTTAACAATGATTACTTGCTTGATGAACCATAGCTAATTTACATATCACAATCTCATTGGGTGTATTTTGTAATATTAATTTTTATTCCTCCGTTATGTCACACAGGAGAGCCAAAAGTGACGCGCGCGGCACTACAAACAGTCATGATGGCGTTCATTTGCATCAGTTAATTATTTAATTGTGTGTGCCTTTCTTTCTTAATTGGAATATAGGCTGTGTAATTGGGATGCTGGTGTCAGTTGAGTTTACGATGGCTTGTTTCACTAACTAATGAACGGTATTTCATGAGAGCCTTGTGGTGTGTATCATAGTGTTGCTGGTCTGTCCGCCCCAGAGATGTGCCTGCTAGCATGCCCTCTGAGCCCTGCAATTCACCCACTGTTAATGAGATTGTAATGTATGCGCTACAGTTCAACAAGCACGAGGCTGCCATTCTGCACCAGGGCTCATGTTTGGTGTGTCAAGGGTGTGTGTGTGTATCTGTGACAATAGTGTTTGCGTGTGTTTATTCTAATGAGGATCATTGTAGTTTCTGCTGATTGCTGTCCTCTCTAAGGCCAGGTGAACTTCCTCAAGCGACGGCCACATCTTGCCATCATTATTTTAGGAAATTGTTGTAGTCATCACAAACAGCTCTTTATAAAAGCACTTTTTTTTTGTTAACTTCATCATTACGCAGTCTCCCAAGATGATAAATGGTGTCCCAAAACATTTCTTTGTGGTATGGAGTATGAAGAATTTAGTATGAAGGAGTATGAAGAGTATGAAGGATTTTTAGCATCATTGACACAGAGCAAGAGCCCCCTCATTTTTTTGTTGTTGCTGGGGGTAGATGGCATTTTAACTGCCATGGCTTGCTGGTGACAGGAAAAGGTGCACACAAATTTTAGATACATTTTTTTTTCTCTTTTTTTCATGACTATATATTTACTGTAATGTTATTTTTGTGTTGTGAAGAGATTTTACTTCATTTAAAAAAATTGTGGATAAATGTTGTGTCCAAAAATGATGTCCAGCTTTTCAGTTTTGCAACATTTCTCCACAATTATACTGTTGTTGTGCCTAAACAAAATGTTTTTTTTTTATAACTAATGGCTTCCTAAAGACATGTTTAATTTAAAAACAAACAAACAAAAAAACATTGTGAATATCAATACTTGGGTCTCTGATGGTTAAGCATGTCCATGTGTGTGTGTGTGCATACTGTATGATAGAGGGTAAGAATGCAAGAAAGTGAGACAGAGAGATAAGAGAGCCAATCGTATTTGTTCTAAATGCACAATACAGTCCTTCCAAAAATCTGGGCCAGAAAACATCGATCCCAAAAGCTGGGCCTGGTGATTAGTTTCGGGAAGAAAACAGAATGCATCGGATTCACTTGCTGCATTCATCATTCATGCACTCAACTCAATAGCTGGAAATATTCTGCCTCCCAGAGAAAAAAAAAATAAAAAACCATGGTTGCAAATAGCTCCTTTAATCATCAAAAGGGTAGTTATGATTAAAACTTTTGTTTTAAAAATGCTTTTAATAAAAAAGATGTAGAATAATGCGATTGTCTTGGTGGATATCAAACTAATTGATTATTATCAACTGTTTTGTTATACGTTCATTTCTTGACAGTAGATTCACAATTCAAGACATCAAATTCATGGGTTAAAAGAGGAAAAATAGGAAGGTGTTAGACATTTCAAATCTTGCATTGCTTGTGCTACTTAGACCACACACAGAGAAAAGGTATTCAGTTAACTTTCACTAGGGGTCCCCATTGCTCCTCTATTTGACCACAGAGACACTGAGGTTCCCACTAAATATATACATTTTCTCATACTTCCAATATATCTCGAAGTACTTTATTTTTGCATGCCTGTAGGCAAGGTCTTAGGTTTGATTGTTGAAATGTATAGCTCAGTAAAATATAACCACTCAAACCAACCTCTGTTTTACTTTGTTTTGTTGACGGATTTTGAGCGTTTATGCTGGCGAGGCCAGGCTGAGAGACTAAACTAAACCGCTCAGTAAACCAATTTTATTGTTTGTTTCAGTAGGTAAAATGTAAGCCTATCAGCGTGTTAATATGAATTTAAGTCATATGTGTACAGCCATAAATCCCTTTTTTAATAAACATTTGAACAGAGTGCGTAAAATTTGCGTTTTGTAAAAGTATATGTGTTTTTGCTCATCTATCTGCCTCTTTGGTTGCAGGGATGAGGAGTTTCCTTGCTTGCGATTGGTTGTCTTTTTAGTGCACCTGTTCTGTCGGAAAACCCTATTGGTTAGCTTAGATGTCATTCATTTTCGCCTCTTCTTCACGCGCTTCCCGCTCTTAGCGCTGGAGTACCAGCTTGACTGTTGGCCTTTCTGTCTCAGGAGAACTGCGCGAGTAAGTTCATTTAGGCAAAGGGAAGATAAAAAGCAGACATGTTCATGCAAAAGCTGCGTCACAGAAGAGATGGGAACATTTCCGAGAGAGTCATTGGCGACCGCCGGTGGTTTTGCGCTCCCGTGCGCCAAGAGATGGATTCATAGGACGCGCGTCTGCTGTTCCCGCGCGGAGAACACCACCAACTTCTACGGCGCGTGACTTCATAACGCCACCGGTCCGGACCTTTATACTTGTGTTTTAAACTTTATGTGTTGAAGGAATAATAACACGAGATTGAACGATGACAGTGACTTTCCCTGGCTTGCAATAACGCTTTATCACTTTAGTAAAGGGTTTGATTCTCGCTTCTAACGAAATTTTGGTGATAGTTAAAGGACACGGATTTTTTGAGGACCGCAACAACGCGAATCTGCTGCCGAACCAGTTGCATTATCACATGACTTTCCACAGGATTATGCTATTTATTCAACAACTTCTCAAACTAGACAATTCATAATGTCGTTTTTGGACAATATACAACAACTCAGAAAGCCAAAGATGTTCGCTGTACGGATGGCGTTCCTGCACGCGCTCCTCGCCTCGTTTCTCCATGGAGGTAAAGAAACATTTACGCACATCCAAAACTTGTTGCGAGATGGCAAATCATGCAGAATAAATATAACGAGCATGATTGCAAGAATTATAAGAATCCTTCATGTATTCAAACAACTGTTGTTAAGAGAAAGGTCAGTGCGCTTTCATGTCTTTATCGCGTATGCAAAAAAGTTGATGCAGCTGCTCCCTATTCCACTTGACCCATTTTAACATCTTAATTTACACTTGAAATATTTATAGATGTATACACACACTTCTGTGGTAAGTGGTTCGTGCGTTTGGTTGCTTGGAGAGACTGTGGCGCGCAGCGACAGCAGCGGTGTGGTTTTGTTGTGCCAAGCGTATAAATAATAGAAATGTTGGTTTCTCACCTTGTTGTTTTGCATCCTATTATGAATTATACATGCATGAATGTAGTTAGCTAGCAAGACAGAGATGTAGAAATAGGAGGATGATTGATGCGTCCTGCATCGAGTTTTCTAACGAAATAGCGCGTGGAAAAACAAAATTATATGATAGTGACACGGGCATGCTTTAACGGTTTATCTGTTAATATTATGTATTATTGTGCACGTGCAATTAACTTTAATCTCTTCTCACAGGAGTATTTTCTCTCAGTCATTTTATAATAGCTTGTTAAATGAGCTGGTTTGATTACAGTAAACATGATGCATTTTCTTTCATTCATTTCAAGATGCGTTTTTAAATAGTTTATGGGGGCATTGCTGTTATATTTGAATGGTTATCGAATAAATACAAAGATATTTGCTATGCTAAAGGTGAGCCACCCTATTTTCACTCTCCACAGAAGCAAGAGACAGTGATGAAATGAGCAGACTTGTGTTGTGTCCCGGCAGCATGCTGTTTTTATTAATCCTCTCCAGCTGAGGACCCACAGTGGCCTTCACATCTATTTTTACTTATACTATCCCAGCAAGTCTGAAACTGGACATGTCATACAAACAAACAATTAGGCTGTGGGTGTGAGGTAGAGACAGACAGAAAGTGTGGGGGATGGCAAAATTAGACGGTACTGTATGTGTTGAAGATTTTCCAGCGTGAGGGATGACAAGTTTGTCCAAGTGTGTGAGGGCTTGGATGGTATTAGAGATGTTGACTCTGGAGACAGCACTTGCTGATCAAGCACTGAAACTGTCATCATCATCATTACTGTTTTTTTCCCCCCCAGCCTCCGCAACAAACGTGGCCTCACACTGCTGTGTAATGGACTGCATGCAAATAGTACATCACTTGCAAGTTGAGACAGCATGTGGTTTGAATGCATGGAATTGTATCCGGTGAACTGTGCGATATCCACAGGAATATTTGCAGATTTGTGTTTGTAGAAAACCAAGTTGTTGTTTGATTTATTTATTAATGTTTTTTTTTGTTTTATACTACAGAACTGCTGACATATTGTAGTATGGACAGTTTGAATTGCGCAGAATATGAGAAATGGAAGCAAGAGGCGGAAAACAACTTATAATGTGCATGTGTCAGTGTGATGGTGGGAGCTGAGCCAGTGTTTGATGACTGAGGAGACAAATCTGTAAGCGAGTTACATCAAATTTGCAATTTGTCTTCAATTGAACGCCTGAAAATGCACCTGTTCTCAACAACGCCATCGATAAATCTGGGGGATGAAAGGTTTTTGTTGCTTTAGGGAGTTTTAGGAGCTTAATTGACAAAAGCAGATGGATGTTTACAGAAGGACTGTCTTCCAAGTAAGGCTTAGAGCTCATTTTCCTAGCTGTGCGAAAACTGACTGTGAAACATTTCTCATCTTCAGCATCTCCTCCCTTCGGCGTCTGAGGGCAGATATCTGTGTTTTCGAGCTGAACCGCAGGTCTGATCAGTTGTAACAAACCAGAGGTGTGATTAAAACTGTCAGACTATCAGGCTGTCAAACCGTTGCCCTCACACACACATATGTACATGCGTAGACACACACTGGCCGTGCCTGCGAGCCAGGGCGAGCAGGGGTCCCATATGTTTGAGGGTTGGCTGACACCAGGGAGATGATTTGCTCTAGGGACACTGTGAAGCCTAAATCTCTTTCGTTCTCTCTCTTTTTACTCGCTCATACAAACACACACAGGCATGCTTATGTGCACAGACACAAACTGACTTTCTAGACTAGCAAAGCAATACATTGTGCATTTTTGCTTTTGTTTCTTAAATTTTTCATATTAAATTCAAAACAGTGAGATTCACAGCTAGAAGTGTGAGAGCTGTGAGTGTGCTTTTAATAATCTATATCCAAAGAGGGGTAATCAAGAAGATATTTCCCTACAGATTGGCATCCAGAGAGAAAAGAGGGATAGTGGACAGGAGGGGGGCAGATGAGTGAAAGTAATGACTGTGATCATTATCTCCTATGTTTTTAATTGAGATAATGACCCAGAGGAAGACAATAAAACTCCCAAAGGAAAGATTTATTATCCTCCCCCTCCTTATTTCTGTCATTTCCTCCTTTATTTTTTCTCCTTTCAATTTCTTAGAAGTGACAGCATGAAATTTCATCAGTTTTGATAGCTCCGCTAACCCTCAGAGGCAAAGAGGAAAAAAAGTTTGCTTAGACCAAAATAATTTTCCATTACAACTGCAGAAAGACCAGTTAGCAAGTTCCCATTTTGCAAACGTAATAAAATTGAAAACTTTCATCTCAGCAAATTGATTTCAGTCAGATTCAGAAAAGAAGAATGAAGAGGAGGGGGAAAAAAATCATTAGATCATTGAAGCATGACTGTACCATGGGACTTTTGGAATTTGCGTATAGCAGTGAGAACACACACACACAAACCCGCTCCACTTTACTTTTATTAATTCATTCACTCATTCTGTGACTTTGTGAAGGAGATTTTTGCATTAGGGAAGGGCAGCGAAAGCAATGACTTGATGGAATGAATAAATAGATATGTGATACTCAAGAATATATGCATGCATATCTCTATTTTGTTGAATATCCCAATCTTGCTATCTATTTTCAGGCTGCTGGAAGGTATTTTTCTGTCATTAACGAGACTCGGCCGGCAGTTCATTTAACACGTACATGCCCCCCAGAAGGCCTGAGAAATTATTGGCATTATCATCAGCTAGACTCCACATGTTCTCACGCTCTCTTTAGGATGTATTGTGGCCATATGGTATTGGTTCTGGAAATTAGAGTTGCACTTTTGTGTTACTAGTTGGATATCATTCTCTTTTTCTTTCTCACTATGGCAATTTTCTCTATCGATTGGACTGGGTTCTCTTTCCTGTGATGATGTGAGAAAGGGAGAGCAAAAGAGGATACTAGAGGTGGCTCTTGTTTGTGTAGATGGAATAATTAACGCTCATTAAGAGGGTGATGAGAGGCTTAGGGGTGATGCTACTTGTTAGGATAATTAGAGTCAAATAGGCCTCATTATGCAAATTGGGAGGAAGTATGATTCTGTCAGTGTTTACCTGCACTCTGTCGTACTGATGACCTCAGATAGAGATGACAGTGTCGAGTGAAGCAGAGTATCTAAAGAAAAGACGAAGTGGGGATAATGAGCTCTTATAGGGAGAGAGGAAATAAAATAAAGGATGATCTATTTAAGAGACGTGAATGAGAAAAACGAGTAATGAGATGACAGAAACGAGGGAGGATGGATGAAATATGTAATCTGTAATCAAATATAAGCTCTGAGGGCAATAAAGAAGCTGCTCCATTTTCAAGGAAATGAAATGTTTCTCAAATTATTTTACCGTAGAGAGATCAGTGGATAAGCCTTTCAGGGCAGCTCTGTTGCAGAGAGAAAAACAACACTCTTTAATAGGATAGGTGAAAAATATTAAAACAAAATATAATGCCCCCCAAGCAGCAGTGACTTAGCTAACACCATGAAGTCAAGTCGATGTTGCGAAGACCACTGCGTGTGCCAGTGTTCTCACATTCCTCTAGAGAGCACTTGTGTAGTGGTCTGCAAATCTAGAAGCCAGAACTTGGAAATATGTTGCAGGTATGGGATTTTATGTATTTATGAAGCTTGTGTTCTCTATAGTTGTCCGTAAGGCACCGACCTCTACTGTGGCTGAGTTGTGTGTGTGTGTGATGGATCGAGGCTCTCGTTAACCGCAGGTCTCAGTGGGTGATTACTTCTCAACATGTTGCCTGTCCTGCTGCGTTTTGGCACCCTGATACACACACACACACACACACACACACAGATGAGACCTAAATGACTTTGTTCAGAGTTTGGTGGAGCGCTCACAGCTCTGTGAGTGTATATGTGTATAGTAGGGATGGGACGGTATGAAAATTTCATATCACGATTATAGTGTCCAAAATAATCGTGATTATCAATATTATCACGGTTTTGTTAAAAATTTATGAAAGTGCTCAAAAAGAACTGATGCTCACACTGAAAACATTTCAACAAGTTTTATAATTGAAAATCAACAAACAACAAATAAAACAAGCCTCTCTATGCAGTTTTTAAGCAAGATTCTATAGACCCTTTTACAGTTGGTAAACATGGTGACGTTTTTTTGTGGGCGGAGCTTAGGTGGAGGCAGAAAGATCCGTCTGGCCGCTTCACTAACGCTAGTTAGCAAGGATTGTTAGCTTGTTTTTTAACAATGACTGGAGAAAATCCGATATTACCTTAATGTGTAAGCTCACTCACTGTCCAGGACTGTGATTGTTATTTCCAAAAGTTATTTTTAATAGTTTTTTGTAAAAACCCAAAATGACCACACCTCAGATTTGGTCCTCTTAAAAGGCTGAAAAATCTCCTGAGCACGGTCACTGCCTTCCACCATTCCTTCTCGAATAGTAATTTAAAAAAATATTGCGTGCTGCACGCCTGCGTCAGACTGGCCGACAGGATTCAGTTAGTTATTAAAATCACGATAATCAAACACGGTTTTAATGATAATTAAGTTTTAAACGATAATACTAACCGTCAGTACATTTTATCACGGTTTATCGTGAAACCGGTTATCGTCCCATCCCTAGTGTATAGCTCATCTTGG